CAATTCGGCTGCCCAGCGTTTTTGGAATAAAAAACCTTCTCACCATCCTTTGGTGAAATGGAAGGATCCATTAACCGGTCAATGGGCTGGCCCTGATCCCGTTCTTACGTGGGGAAGAGGCCATGTTTGTGTTTTTCCACAGGATGCCGACACGCCGCGTTGGTTACCGGAAAGGCTGGTACGCCAGGCGGAAAAAGACAATGTTAACCAAACTTCAGCACCTACGACTTCAACATCTACCCACGAAGGACCAAGTGCACCACTTTGTACATCAAGCGAAGCAGATAGCGAAGACGACTAAAAACCCATCGGTATCGATGATGTTTCTTGTCGTTAATCTCGCATGTACCATCGCCTTATCATCTTTTCCCGGTGCCCAAGCCAATGTATTTTTATCTTGGGCACAAGCATATGCAGATTTTCATAATACATCTGATTGTTGGGTTTGCAGTGCTATGCCATTATCTGTTGGGAGTCTACCCTGGTGGGTGAAACCTCTGACTAAGCGAGAATTTCCTTCGGTGTGTAAATTATTAGTACAGCAGGATGAATGGCATGAAAAAACTTATAGATATTCTTATTCTAACAATGTGTCTCATCTTGCTTGGTGTTCACTTGACAATGATACCACAGAGATATTTTTTGATCCTAATGTTACCGAAGAGGGATTATATAAAAGAAAATCTGAGCAGCATGATACACCCATAGATGCTTCTGGTCGACTAATGGGAAACTTTTATCAGATATGGGACGAAAATATATGGGTTACCCCAGAGACGGGACAATTAACCAACCCTGCGGATATCTGTTGGGAGCAAAGAGAACAGCCTTGTGCTAAGGACGTGTATGGCACAGAAAGACATTTGACAAAAAAGGATTGGAAATATCTTGGATATCTACCCCAAAGATTGTGTAAATGGACTATTGATGTTACATTCATTTGTAAAAAACTGTTTCAGTGGCCGGGATCTGATTGGGATAATAAATCTGGACATCGAATAGCTGCACCTAATGGGACAAAATGGCTTTGTGGAACTAATATTTGGCCCTGGTTACCTTGTGGTTGGGTAGGACGCTGTACGTTGGGATTTGTTATAGCCCCTGGTAGGATTGTAAAATCTGTACAAGGGGTTCCTGCTAATATGCCCAATTTACATGCTCGATGGGCCCGATCAGCATTTAAATGGTATGACTATCTAGCTGCTATCTTTGTCCCTTCTTTAGGAACTGTAGATATTATGACAAAAGTTAATGCTTTGACTAATTTTACTCAAAAGGCTTTGATTGATGTAAAACATGCTGTGGAAGAAATTAACGATGAACAAAAACTTATGAGGAAAGCTGTATTGCAGAATAGAATGGCTCTTGATATTCTCACTGCTGCGCAAGGAGGAACTTGCGCTATTATTAAGGTAGAGTGTTGTGTGTTTATTCCAGATTTGTCTGCTAATATTTCTTAGGCAGTGGATGATATGCAGAAACAAATTAAGAATATGGATTCTCCAACGCCTTTCTTACCAGCGCAATGGTTTGATTGGTTTAAGAGTGACTGGTGGAAACATGCTCTGGTGATTGTCATAATAATTTTGATCCTGATTTGTA